ACTTTTCCTTTTAAAAAAATCCAAGAAGTTATGTTTAAAAAAACAATCATCCAAGTACAGTCCTCTCCCCAGGGTGGGATGGATTAAGACATCTAGAGACCCTAAGCACCGCAAAGATTATGGTGCCCCTTATGAATATAATGCTCAGTGGATCCTGCTGCTTAAAAAAAAGTATAACATGCACATTATATGTATGAAAATACAGTAATTTAATTGTAGAGCATGTGGCAAAAAAGCCACATATCATATACAAAATAATACGTACAATCAAATTACCATCTTCTAGCCAAATCTTGCAATTTCACATTTTGATTAATGGTTTGTTAATGAGGGTGAACCATTTGCACCATGGTCCATGGTAACTCCAACACTGAAAAAAACTCTTTAGTACCCCCTGCCCTTGTTGATGCTCTAAGCACATGCTTATTTTGCTTAATGCTTAATTGGGGGCTGACAGAAGTCATCATAATCCTACACAACAGGGTGGCAAATTGTGACACTCAGGATCAATTCCAGCTCCCATCATCAACAACAAGCAAAGCCAAGTTAGGTATGGTGTGAGTTGCAATCTAGTATCTAGAGACAGTTACGCCAGTAAATGTACTTACTTACTAGTAGACATGTACAGCATACTGCTGTTATAAGTTCCATCTTCTTCATGAAGCCAAGTTAGGTATGGTGTGAGTTGCAATCTAGTATCTAGAGACAGTTACTCCAGTAAATGTACTGTACTTACTTACTAGTAGACATGCACAGCACACTGCTGTTATAAGTTCCATCTTCTTCATGTTTATGCAGAAATAAAGATTACCAGACTTCATTGACTTAATATTATTCAGTACCTATCAATAGACCGCCTTGTCTGAAAATTGTGTTATAAAGTATTTATTTTCTGTGCAATTTACTTTTAAGTGAGTGTGCTTAAAATGACAGCCAGAGTCCCCAAAAGATAACATCTGAATATACATGCTGTGAGCTGGTGAAAAAACAGGCAGAGAAATCTCTTTTGAAGCTTTGTGTGTGTGTTAAGGGCTCTTATGAAAGTAGCCAAAGGCATTGGAATGATATAGTGAGACCTTTGGCTTTAAGTGCTGAAAGCATTGAGAAGCAGCAATAGTGGAATCTCTTGGGCCCACTTGATGTTTAAGAGACTGTTTGAAAGTATTTCTAACACTGCAGCTGAAATGTTTGATTTGCCTCTGGTAAGCTCAACTATTTTGAAAAAGCTAAATTTTAGGTCTGCTGCTCACAGACTCAGCCAACCAAGCTAGAACTTCAGCTTTGTTGACCTGTCAAATTTATCGTGCTTGAACTTCCAATTTGTAAATCATCAAACCAATTCGATGAAGTCAATGACTTCTGTATATTTACGTTGAATTTGAAGACTCAGCTAAGCCAATATTTCAGCAACTTTCATTCATTAAATACATCATTTTAGACTTTATTTAAAATATTTGACCCTGCTTTCTCCTCGCTAACATAATTACAAGACAATATTGAAAGCTAAAAACAGTAAGTATACAAATACGGGAAAAGATCAGATTAGAAAGAAATGCAATGTTTTCAGCATATTGCCCACCCCGTTACCCATACTTTTAGTAGGAAATAAAAATTAACTCTATTTAGCAACTGGATGAAGAAAGTAATTGCGGCACATCACGCTTATAGCTGTGTATTTTCAGAGCTGGGTCAAAGATGGTACCGAACAGTGTATGTATTTCTTGCACAAAACATATGCTGTGATTCAGCACAACTGCATGAGTGAGGATTTTTATTCTATTAGTGTTAACACTGGGTTTAGACCACTGTGCCTCTGCTTGTGATGAGGAGCACTGATAGTGTCATAATTCCCACTCACACATATAGGCCTTAGGCTTATATATACTTCTTCCTTCAACAATGCTGGGGTGAGGGGTGCCAGACCCCCGCGTAGTTCAAAATCCTGTATAATTCTTATGCCTCCCCTCCAACATAACTACAAAGCATATAGTTGATTCACACACACACACAAACTCCTCCCCTGACCCACATCAGCGTCCTGGCATGCTCCAGCACTCTTTCCAGCCACCACATGGAGCTGCGATAATAGGAGAGGAGGCTGGCCCAGCCACTATCATCAGACCAGGGGGTGGGCACACTGCCAACCATAGGGCCCAAGAAAATCCTGAGACCCACCTTTCTCAAGCCACTTCTGGGAGACAAACAGCAGCACAGTAATTATTGAAGACAGTATTTATTTGTTTGTTCATTGGAATAATTATTTAATACAGTATTTATTTGTTTGTTCATTGGAATATTAATTGATTTTTGGTGGGGGGAGTGTATAACCAAACCCATGCTGCTCAGATCCGTGCAATGCAAGGAAGAATTGTTCCTGCGTGCATTCTGTCTGGCCAAACAAGTGAAAATCATTAGTTAGCACTGAGTGAAGGTAGCTTAGCACAAAAGAAGAGGATGGGATCAGCCAATGCAATCCTGTACAGTACTCTCTCTTAATGTCTGATTACAAAGGTGAGAGTAGAACAGACCTTTTATGAGCTGGTAGAATCCTGAGGTGGTAGAGTTGACTGTGTCACTTCAGAGTGTAGGTAGGGGATCTGGGTTTGAATGCTTCTCCTTTCGCAATTTAAAAAAACAGATAAACTTGCTAGTAAACAATAAAGATGTTCTAGCAGAATACGGACTTTGCCATACTGGCTTTGTACTCCCAGGAATAGCAACAGTTCTAGCAGAATATGGACTTTGCCATACTGGCTTTGTACTCCCAGGAATAGAGGCTTTCACATGCATCAGCTTTTACATAAGCAGACATTCAAGAATGGTATTTTCCACTTAGTGCTTAAAGTGGTACAGTCCTTTGTGGTGTCTCAGATCTCTGCCACTTTTGCCTTTGAAGTCAAGGCATAAAGTGCTGCTGTTGAGGGATGCCACTGAGAGGAACACCAGTTTGCCCTCTCCTCCCTCTGTATCAGGAAAAAAATGGTTTCCTTTTTCTTATTCAAGTGGATAGCATCTAAGGTAAAGTACATACAGTACAGTAACTTCTGAATTCAACAACCACTGTTTGAGAGAAGATGCCTTTGATCATGATTCATTCATACACTGGATTCCATGTGTATGTTTGTATGCATGGCAGGGTTAAGTGAATGCTGAGTAAAGCATGTTCTAGATGTTCTCATTCCTTTTATTTCAAATTATAACTATAGAATCATTGGGTTGGGATTAAGAGGCCATCAAACCCAATCCCCTGCTTGATGCAGGAATCTAAATCAAGGTAGATCTGACAGATAGTTGTCCAATTTTCTCTTGAATGCGTCCAACGTTGGAGTGCTCACCACCTCCTGAGCTCATTGGGTTCATAGTCGTACTGCTCTAACAGTTAAGAAGTTTTTCCTGCCAGTTAGTCTAAATATGGCTTCCTGCTTGAGCCCATTATTATGTTTCCTGCACTCTGGGATGATCAAGAACAGATCCTACCCCTCTTCTGCATGATTACCTTTCAGGTATTTGTAAAATGCTATCATATCTTCCCTCAGTCTTCCATTCTCAAGGCAAAACATGCTCAGTTATTTCAGTCTTTCCTCATAGGTCTTGGTTTCCAAACCCTCATCATCCTCGTTGCCCTCCTTTGAACATATTCCAATTTGTTGGCATCCATCTTAAATTATGGTGTCCAGGAATGGACACAGTACCGTGTTTCCTTGAAAATAAGACAAGGTCTTATATTACATTTGTATTTAATATAAAATATTATTTATTTAAAATTTTGTGCCAAAAACCACATTACGTGCAGTGGTCCCCAATTTCTTTGGCACCACGCACTGGTTTAGCATGCAAGGGGGGCGTACGTGCATCTGTGTGCGTGGTGTATGTGCATGCATGGGGTCACACATGCGTGGGCAGGGCATGTGTGCGTCCGTGCATGCCTGAAGGAGCGTGAAATCTGTCTCCATGGCCGGTCCTGCCAAGGCCAGTACCAGGCCGCCAATCGGTGGTTGGAGAGCCCTGCACTACGGCTTATTTTCAGAGGATGTTTTATTTTTTTCACGTTAACATAGTTAAATATTCATGGTTGATGTGAACCAGGTACCCATTCTCCCTTATGAAGTTTTTGGTTTGGGTCAGTCACCATCTCTCAGTCTACCTCATAGGTTTGTTGTGCAAATTTGGTGTGATAGGGCCCTTCCTTTGAACATTTTGGGATAATGCCAAGGTGTAAATTTAATACTTCTCTGAATTTGTTCCAGCCAGGAAAACAAAATTAGGATCTTAGGCTCCTATGACATATTTAAAAATATTTACAGTATTTACATTTTTACATCCTATCCTTCCACCTCATTGACAGGGCCTTCAAAACAAAACCTGGCCTCATATGGAACAAATCAAGGTGGTGAGAAATCTGATGGAGAAACTGAGGATTCAGAAGTATTTTTGAATTTTCATATACTTCCCTATCCTATACGTTTCACGAACAAATAACTCTTACTCAATGATATTTAAGGTGTGCAGAAGACTGCAGCTCCAACGCACCCAAAATTTGCCCTTTTAAAAATTTCAAATTCCTTGACAGCGACTTTTGTACTGAGGGGTGTGTGTGAATTTTATTAATTTTGCTTTCCCCACCCGATTGACACCCTGTCCTGAACGGGGTAGGGGGGCAAAAGGAGACCAGGGCGCCTCATTATTAACTTCGTGACAACCCCCCCCCTTTCTCAGGACCGTCCAGGAGAAAATTTTCCTCAAAACAGAACACGCAACCTCCCCCAGGTCCAAACATTCCCCCCGGGGGGGGGGAGAGAGACGTTTAAAAACTGATTTATCTCCTCAGGCGAGCTAGGCACGCCGCCCGCCCCTGCCCGCCTGCCGCCGCTTCGCGCTCTCCCCTTCTCACGCCCGTCGGCCCTCGAAGAAGGCGGGCCGCGGGGATGGGGCTCCTCCTCGCGGGAGGCGCGTCTTCGTGGGGCGGGCGGCAGGATTAGCTCATCGCGGCGGCGGAGGCAGGACAGCGGCCGCGGCAGCAACATTAGAGAGTGGCGGCGGCGGCAGCAGCAGGAGGAGCAGCGGCCGCTGGTCGGCGGCGGCGACAGCACCCTCCTCCTTCTGCCCCTCGCTGTCTTATTCCGGGGTTGCTTCTCAGCCGGGCGCCGGTGGACGGGAGCGGAGCTCGCTCCCTCTGTTCTCTCGCCATCATCCCTTCCCCGCCCCCCACCCCGCTCCTTCCCTCTTCTGCTCCAGCCCTCTGGGGTTTCCCCGGCCGGCTCTATGGCTCTGTGCAATGGAGAAGCCAAGGTCAGTGCCGCGCGGGCGGGCGGGCGCGACAGCAAGACGCGGGAAGGGGAACGGGAAGAGCCGCGAAGGGAAGGGAAAGGAAGAGGCCGGCGGGACGGACAAGACAGACCGGCGGGCGGGAAGGGCCCCCCCCCCCCCGC